TTCTAAGAAAGTCAGAGGCAAGAAAGATAGACAAAATATTAAAAAATCTTGTTTGTAAATATTGTTAAGATTATTGATTTAGAGAAGGGCCATATACATGATGTGGCAAAAATTACACCCACATAGTGGTTAGACTAGTGGCAATGGTGTCTTCATCTAGCTAATGTCTTACCATTATATGGGAGGTATTTCTGCCACACCCAGTATTTATTCTTTAAGAAAGGATTTTTTTATTGTGGTGAATGATGAAGTGCATCCCATATACTGCTAAATATAATGTGGGGAAATATGGAGTGAAAGGTTTTTTATGTTCATTAAGACAAAAAGAAATATTGCATTGAATAGAGGGTGCGATGGATAAATTGTTGTCTAAATTACACAAAAATGGAAATAATACTGACATCTCATTTCAACAGACATATTTTCCAAAATTACACAAAAATATCTTGAAATACTAAAGAGTAAATTTATTCAACAAAATTACCATTAGCTTCAACCATGATCTCCAGACTACTTCTCCTGTTTAAGTTGGTAAATGCAGCCATAAACGTTGTCTTCAGTTCATCTTTGGTCTTACAAGGATTGTTGGTCTCTTGCTCAACTGCATCCCACGCATAATAATCAAGGTGAGTGCAGTCTGGGGAATTAAGTAATCAGCTGTAAGGGGTGATGTAGTTGCAGAAATTGTATGACAGCCATACTGGGTTCTCCTGCTTGTGTGGCATAATCAGAGTCCTGTTGCTAGACATAGGGTCTTCCTGTAGTCATCCTCTTAATACAGGGCAGCACTATTTCTTCAAGGCTCTTTATGTAAGCCTCCATGAGTTTGAGGCCCTGTGGGAAGAATAATGGAAGCATAATATCGCCATCACAAGTGATTATTCCAAGCAATATGATGTTGACTGAATATTTGGTTTTCATCACTCTTGGTACAACTTTTCAGACCACAACAAAGAAATGGTTGTTCTTTTTTTTCTTTTTTTTTTTCACCATCATATCCTGACAGAAATTTATCTTGTCAAAGAAAAAACAAAGCATGTTCAGTTGGAAGAGATGCTTGAATTTGTTCAAAAGCTTCATAGCACAGTTTTCCCACATGTACTTCGTGGCTTGTGTTAAAAATTGTCACTTTCTCATCTTATAAGAGAAATACTTAATGTCTTCATGCACTACCTGCCTGATAAGAAACTCAGATACTCCGGTGTCCATGGCGATGGACCTAATTGATATGGAGGAATCATTGTCAATTATGGCCTGAACCTCACCAACAGAATGATCAGATTGAGTTTTCTGAGCTGTCATACCTTCGTAATCACCATTAAACTCATCCAACATGTTGCAAATCCTCTGCACTGTCCTCAGATTGACACTCAAACACTTTGAAATGTTTGTATTGGAGCTTATGGCATGAATGCCAAGCAGTACAGCATGCCACTTCCAAATTTCTGGCTCAGTGAATGGTGTCATGGGGCTCTTTTTCTCACAGATGATGCCTAATTAACCATTCTATATAGAGCAGTCAACAAGATCAAAAACAAACAATGCACGTGCACAAAATAAAAAATATAAAATGGAGACAACTTACCCATCGCACCTTGTATGTATGTGTGTGTGTGTATATATATATATATATATATATATGTATATATATAGATAGATAGATATAGATATATATGTTTATTATAAACAGAGCATTTACTTAAGTATATATTGTAAATAGAGCATTTTTTATTATATATATATATATATATATATATATATATATACACACACCATGGAATATTAGTGTTTAAGCCTTTTTATTATGTCCTTACTCTGTCCTGGACATTGAATTCTACCTGGATTCTATCCTCTTGGAATTTTTTATTCAAAAAAATATACATGAATGTGTATGCACCTATGTATATATATTTATATATTTTGCATATGTATGTGTATATTTACCACTATATATATATATATATATATATATATATATATATATATATATAATTATATACACTCACACATATATATATATATTTATTATAAACAAAGCATCTACTTAAAAACATAGCCTATAACATCCGAGTCTGCGATTGGTAAGTACCTATTAAATTTGTAGGACGTGCTCTTCTCCTGACTTCTTTTCTGTTATACAAAGTGCTGGGACGAGGCTCCATTTAGAAATCTTGGAGTCTATTATTATCAATATACAACGTCCTGCCCTGTGTAGACAGAGGAGATGAAATATAGGTTGGCCCTATTCGGGGAAACTACTACCGGACAAGGAACATAACAATTCCCCCCACCACCACTTTATATGACTATTATTGGGTAATTGATTTCTTAATACCAGTTGTTGATAAAAATTTTCTTATCAGCATCTTTGTTTTATATTGCCGACGATTCTGTTTCTGAGGAAGTGTCGGCTAAAATCCTGTTCTTAAACGAGATACTTTTGTATCAATTTTAATAAAAATATGATCCTTCTCCTTATAGTAATATGTTTAAACAGAACATTTACATATATATATTACCAATATAAACATTTATTAAATAATAATTAATGATTAACCATATGACAGAAATAAACACGGAGAGAAAGTTTTTAAGTTCGGCATTTTTAGACATGCCTGTGTCCTTCATTGGAATAAACAGAGAAATGGGAATTACTCACTGACAGATGTTTTTGTAAATGGTGTATTTTCCAGTGGAAATCATATTATTAACAACTCTCTTCATCTGTTTACGATCTCACTACCCCGACGACACACATTGGTAAATCTGCCTAACGCTTTTACACCGATCAAAATTTTAAATTTAAATTTATTTTCACATCGAGGAATAGAACGGAGATAGGTTTTTTGCTAATAATATGATTTCTATTGAAGTTCATTTGTGTGTGTGTGTGTATGTAACGCATACCGATTAAATGGTAGTTTCCTCTACAAAAGTGGAGGCAGGTTTGATCCCAGTCTTTACTTTGATTTCTCGAATGCGCAGGCCGAATGCACAATGTTTGATAAATAAATAAAATCCCGAAAGGCTACACCTTCGATCGCTACAATCTTAACCACTTCAAGTTTAGGGTTAACGATTATTATTATTATTCTTAGTGTATTGAATATTAAATTTGGAGGTTCCTGAAAGGTACCAAGTCAAAATGAAGTTTCTTTGCAATATTTTAGTTTTGAACTAATTTATAACTAAATTTAAGAAGACACATAAAAACGATAAATTTCATCATTTTCATTTAGCTCTTTAGCCAAAATTTTAAATCCTTGAAGATATTTTTTTCTTGAAATCTTTTAAGTTTATATTGTTTTGCTTGGATTCAGTTTCTTGTTTATAATTGAAAGTAAAACAAAATGTAGAGCATCTTGTTGAAAAACATTCAGACCAAATCATAAATTTACAAATTCCACAATTTATAATACACAATTCATATAATGAACTCTGACTTTTTTTCTGTTTATTTTACAGAAGTGCGATAAGTTTTACCAGAAACCATTCCTAAAATATTTGAACAAGCACTACACATAACAGAAATGAACTTGAGTAACTGAATGACAAAATGAGAAAAAATATTATGTAATGCATTTTGTCCTTCAGACTAAATAATGTTTTTATTCATGGAATCATTTATATATAGGAGGGAGGGAATGAAAATATAAATAAACAGAAGATATGATTAAACATTAAGGGAAAACTCCACTGCAGGCAGGGATGCTCAAAACACAGCCTAGCCGACCTCATTCAGCTTTCTACCGCTACTGTTTTTGTTGCTATCACTGTTGTTTCTAAATATCATTCATTGTAATAGCACTGATTTTGTAAAGAAAGGTGAAATGTATGAACCTAGAAGTAAATTTACTGCAGAAGAAATTAGTGCACTTTACATTTTTTTTGCCTTAATATAGGAGTTTCCAGGAGATATCAAATGACATTGAACATTGGTTACCAAAAGAACTCTTAGTAAGGAACCATATTAGAATGACTAAAAGTTTTAGCATGATTTAGATGAACAGACATAACAGGCTGGACTGAAGTTTGTAATTTAGCAGAACATTTTTTAATTTTTTTGAAGCCATTAATGAATTGGATCTTTTCTAAATGCTACGGAAACATGACCTTTTACCTGACTTGTCATACTCGCAGTCAGGGTTGTCCTTAGAAACTGTGGGTGGGTAGTAAAGAGGTAAATATTGCTAAGGGTCACAAAAGATAATAAGTTGTGGAGACGATGCCCTGAAGAGACACATCATATAAAAGAAGAGTAAATTCGCCTAATATGAGGCTCCTTTTGGTATCGGTCCCAATTGGAAGCAAAGGATGAAATTGGTTTAGGACTGGCACTGTTTACGGTATCAAAGATGGAGTACTGCTGCCATATATGGACAGGGGCTGCCTAGTCTTTACTTTCCAGTCTCGATAGTCCAAAAGCATCTCCACCACTTACTTATTTCCCACTCTACAATCCCTTTCTCACAGACGAAACGTCGCAAGAATCTTGTTGCTCTATTGTTATTTCCATAGAAAATATTGTATTCCTTAGTTCCACTAGTTCTAACCTTCATGGCTAAGACCCACCATGCTACGCACATTGTAGCAAATCACCCTCATTCCCCTTGTATTCCATTGGTCAGATGTAAATTCCCCTCCAGCAGCTTCTTCCCACAAATCACTGCTCTGAGGAACCAACTCTCAAGAGGAGGCTTCCTTGATCACTACAACCTTAACCTGTTCAAATCTAGGGTTGACTGTTATCTTCCTCAATCCGCATAAGCTCTGTCACTTACTCTGTAATCCTCTACCTCGAATGACTCCCGGGCCTTGTACAGGGTGAACATCATTGTGTAAAATATATATATATTCTTACAGTTACAAGAATTCCCCCAGGAAATGATAGAATTCTTTTGACTAAACAAAGAAAATATCAAAGACATGAAATTAATTTAAAATACAGATTTATTAATTTCAGTTACATATCAAATAAAATATATATTGAGTCAGTTGGCTCATCGCCAGTCGTAATTACAGTGTTTGATGCGAGGGTCCCACACAAGAGTCGGGGGACAAGTGTACCTGTAGTCCCTTCCATTGACGCAAAAGTGGAAAACATGTCTGTCATGAGGATCACCAACAAGTTGACTCCCAACAGCAGGACAGGACCCTTAAAAAACAAGAGGGAATTAGAATTTATTTTGATCAAGGTTCCATTTAATGTACACAAATGAGATGCAATTTTGTTTAGGTTGCAGATTGCAGACGCAATATAACTGAGGCAACGACAAAGCTAAGTATAATATATATATATATATATATATATATATATATATATATATATATATATACACACACACAGTGTGGTGGGTAAATTGTCGCCATTTTATATTTTTAATTTTGTACATCCACGTTGTTTGTTTTTGACTTTGTCGACTGCACAGTTTAGTAGGGTCGTGCCGGAAGCTCCAGTTGGAATATTTCAGAGTGTTTGGGTATCAATCTGAGGACAGTACAAAGGATTCGGAAAGAGTTGGATGAGTCTAATAGTGATTACGAAGGTACGGCAGCTCGGAAAACTCAGTCAGGATCATTCTGACAAGAAAAGAACTCCCGAATTTGTTGGTGAGGGCCTCAGACTCAACACGTAGGCCTACATCAAGTGCCTTGAGGAAGTAGTATTTTGTCCTGGGTCAAGAAGGTGCCTGCTGGAAAACCGTATATCTGGCAACAAAAGAACTCAGTCATGGGTGTCAGACAATTTCTGCAACTGCATCACCCCTTACATCTGGCAACCTAACTCCCCAGATTGCGACCCCTTGATTATTATGTAATCTTCTTGTAATTCCAGAGATTAACTGAAGGCAAGGATTATGACAGCATTCACCAACTTAAACAAGGAGATCATCCAGAAGAGATGCAAGAGATTCCGAAGTCATCTGGAGGCTGTGGTTGAAACCGATGGCAGTTTTATTGAATAAATTTACTCTTTAATATTTCAAGTTATTTTTGTGTAATTTTGGTAAATATATCTGTTAAAATGAGATGTCAGTGTTATTTTCATTTTTCCGTAATTTAGACGAAAATTTACCCATCGCATCCTATCTATCTATCTATCTATCTATCTATATATATATATATATATGGCAACGATTAATTTTAATGATCGAGTTTTCCAAATTACAAATAATCCTTAGACAAGGAAGAAATTCCGTCAGAAATTGTTCGAAGTTCATTTGGGAGGAAAAGTACAAGAAATATGGTCTAAGTTTTAGAATTTCTTAAGTCATCATCAGGTTAGATAGAGACAATTGGTGAGTTTTGTAGAACTAGTGAGTGTTGTAACGTAGGTGTCATACCATAATACCTATTCTATTGTAATAGACTCTGCCACAGATAATAAGTAGTAGTGGCAGTGCCAGTTCGGCTCAGTGGTGTTGAGCGAGTCAGTCGATATCGGACATTGAAGTACCAACCATCACAACTAGATTGCTGCGTCATTAATTCTTATTTCCAAGTTCCTAACGTTTTGTACGTCGAATCTAATTTAGGACGACTTATTGAAATACAAGCCTCCACTGTGAAAACTACAACAGTAGGCGAGGTGTGACGTGTGTGTTCTTATGTGCATTTGAAGATGTCTGTCGTTTTTAATAATATTTGCTTTAAAGAGCAATTGTTACCTAAATACGCAATATACACACACACACATATATATATATAATGTAAAAGTGAACATTGAAGTTAACATTTAGAGGCGACTGGCTGTTTCATGCTCGACGCAGTCGTGGCGTGACTTTAATTTAAGCTGTTCTAGAATTCTCTAGAATATTGTTCTGAGTGTATTGTAAAATAGTTTTTAATATTTTGTCAAAAGCTCTTTAAATTTACCAGTTTAATCATTAGAATGCGATATCTGAATCACTTTTTTTTGCACAGAGTTTTTTCCTGATTCTCATTTATATCAAATTTATAATTATCAATAGAATAGCTTAGGGTGATTAAACTTTTTTCCTAGGTGTTCGGGAAGGGGTCTTTATATTAGTAAGATTAAAAATTATTTTAACCCCAAAAACAATAGACAAAAAATATTTTTAGTAAAAAAAATCAGGTGAGTCACTTTTATCAAAAAGCACTTCACACTTGAGGTTTCACAATTGAATGTTTAATGAGTCTTTATGCTAAAAAGAAGGCACGGTGGAGTAATGGATAGTGGTTCGGATTGAGGAATCGGAGAGCCGAGTTCGAATTCCAGTCGAATCCATTACATTCACTTACGTGCTAATACCCTTGGGAAAGGTATGAATCCTCTTCTTCTCCCCAGCTATGGGTAAATAGTAGGACAGACCGGGTTCTATAGCCATGGATGGCAGAAAAAAATTGCAAACTACTGCGGGAAAAATCTGCTTTGTCAGTCATATATCGAAAGATACATGATCGCCTAAGCGTGTATCACGCATGGCACATAACTGACTGACTGTATTTTTATTAATTTTACTTTTCTATTTTATAAAAAAAAATTAGAATAAAGTTTGGGCTACTCCCTCTCCCTCTCTCTCTCTCTTTATATATATATATATATATATATAAAGTATTACCAGTTTGTGATAATTCCAGGGAGGATATTAATCTAAGGAGAGTTCAATGTAGATTACAGAGCATTATAATCACGAAGAAAACCTTAAATATTCATTTTGGTTATAATTTCGTGATTATCGAAGACCAAAGAGTCTCTTAGTAAATGGAGACAATACACCGGACAGATATATTAGAGTGACAGTGGGGCGGAGGGAAATCGAGAGAGACGATTTTAGAGAAGGAGGGGAAAGACAAAAGTGACGGGTGGGCATGCACTTTTAAACAGGTGAGATAGAGGAAAGGATGGATGGATAGTAATAAGCCTAAACAGATCGACCTGACCAAAAATTCTTTTTTTCTTTAAAGCTCCTTTAAAGTTTGGATAGAGTTATACAGCAAATTGACCGATATGGCCCGTTGTTTTAGGCAGGACAAACCAACCCAATTACAAATTAGTTAGTCTAATAAAAGAGTCCTTAATACAAATAATAAATAGAAATTACAATAATGATAATAATATTAAACATAAATGAAAGGATTTTAAATACAGATAAATAAAACAAATAAATTTTGAAAGTTAAAAGTAAAAATAAAAATTATATATATATATATATATATATATATATATATATGACTTGAAGATTACATGAAACTGTTTAGTTTTAACAGTGTTTACTTTTATATTTACATCTATCCTTGACGTTGAGCACTTTTATTCTTAAATATAGCATACCTTAAAACTATATATATATATATATATATATATATATATATGATTAAAATATAAAATGTGCGTCAAGACACCAGTGCAAGGGAAAGTACTGTACTTAATATTAAATGTAAAAAATACAAATACAGGGAATAAAATGCAAAATAAATATAAAAAATACAACAAACTTTCCACACGCCCACAAATGTTTCCCGTTACAGACAGTTTCATGTGTAGGACGCACTCTTCAAGTGATAGCGACCAACAGAATATAAGCCACGGAGTTGGTAGAATATATAAGAGGAGGAAGAGTCTAAATGCAAGTATCATATAGTTTCTGTTCTCAGACATAGCATTACCATATATGGTAAGAGTCGGTCATAATTTGTTGCGTGCCAGTATGTAGTTGGAAATAAATAAAAAGTGTGTGTGTCTGTGAGAGAGAGAGACGAGAATAACAGACGCCTACGAATTACTCCTGGCCTATATTTTTATTAGAAACTTATTCTTATGTCAAGATGTCGACATAAGTTCTTGTTTATCATGCCCTGTAATATAACGAGTTTTTCAGACATGCCCAAATGACATTTATTGCCTTTACCACTATTTATATATACAATATTTGTTAGGTAAGTTAATGACAGAGTGGAAAAAATAATTAATTTACATAACATTGTTTTGATATATAAACATTTATATATCATTTTCCCATGGAGAGTGTTGTCGTTTGACTCGCCTGACTCTTTAAGCCTCCATTAATGAGCCGATAGTGGCATTTCTGGATCGTTCACTATGGAGGTTCAATTTGTGATTATAGCATTTCTTTTTTCACTCCACTCTTTGGCCCTAATGTAATATTTCACGTCATTATTACTACAAGTCTTAGCTCTATACACCACATTTCTAGTTAAACATTTCCTCTGTAGTGAACATTTCTGTTTGATTCGACAGTTGCATTCCGTCGCATCGATTGCCATTTTTGCTCTTAGCTTTATTATATTTCTATTAATGCTACTAATCAATAAGGCCATATTACATGTACATCTGTAGCTAACTTTTAAATTATTTTTATTAAATAATTTATTCAATAACTGATCGCCAGTAAAATGGTTGCTTATTAACTATTGTTATATGATTGATTCATTCATTCATTTTCTTCAGTTATCAACCCATTGCAGGTTATTTAAAGCCCAAAAATATTTTTAGACTGTAAGAAGGATTTTGTTTTTAGATAATAATGGTTTAGTGATACAAACTTTAATAATTAACCCATAGCTGGAGGTGGGTAGAGGCGGATTCATACTTTTCCCAGGGGTATTTGCGCGTAAGGGAATATAACGAACCCAACGGGAACTCGAACTCTGCGACTAACAATTCCGAATAATTATCCCTTATACAACCCGCACATCCAAGCTTATAGCACCTGCTATTCCGAAGCGGTCACCCATCTAGGTACTGACCACGCTCGACGTTGCTCAACTTCGGTGATCGCACAGGAACCGGTGTTTCAACGTGATGTGGCCATAAGCCATTGTTAAATGAATATTTATATTAAATTAATTTTCCTAACATTTTTCTGGTATATGAAAATTTATATGTCATCTTTTTCTCTCTCTCTCACACACACACACACACACATATATATATATACATACATATATTTACCTATGAATGGGTGCCAAGTTGGTGGATTCGGAATTATTGCTGTTGGTCTGGGAGTCCATCTTGAAGGAGGGTGTCTTGTCACTGGTCTGAAGCAAAGCAGAATAGTCATGAATATGCGAGAAAAAAGTAAATAGTTCATTGCTAATTTGTTTTTGTTTTCTTTTAGAATCAAATTCAAGCTCAACATACCTCACTCAAATAAAGCCATAATCTATTGCTGAGATCATTATGGGCTTTTGTGCTTGACGTTTTCATGCAAGTAAATAAACGACTGCTGAGGCGAAATCAAATCAAATTAAAAGAATGCAACTTTTCCCAGGATCCACAGAATTTGATTTGTCTTTATCACTTTCTGATTTGATGTATTTAATGCTCATCAGAAGAGAAACGTCTCTCTTCTAACTAATGTCAACCGTTAGACATTTATAGGACAAAAACATCTTTGATATGAACCACCTCAGAGTAACAAGAATCTCAAGCTCACCACGGAGAGCCATTAGATTGCCAGGGGAGAAAATGATCAAGTGACACTATTATATATATATATATATATATATATATATATATATATATATATATATATATATATATAAGCCAAGTTATTGGTAAAGTGTCACTGAACAACCCTACCGCTACTAAGTCTACCAAAGGAAAAAACATGAATGCACAAACGAAAAAGACAAAAGAAGGTTAAAAAAAGACAAACATCTATCTACACAAAAACTTAGTGCCCAATTTCTCTATAAATTAATCTAAGCCTGGGCTGTAATACTAACAAATAGCAAATGATCGTCATAGCATTGGTTCAATAAGAAACTGATCGGACTTACTATTCAGGCAGAAGTATATAGTTATGTCATCAGAAGAGATACCGAATTGAATACTGATGATATGTTGAAGGTCGTTTATGAAAATTAGGAACAACATAGGTGCAAGGACAAAGGCCTGGGAGAGGGATACTTGCAAAGAGATTTAGAAGAGTGGCCATTCAAAACAAGTTTCATTTCGCGATTTGATAAAAACTGAACCAGTTTAAAAATTCGTTCAGAAATACAATAACTTTTCAACCTGTGAAAGTATGCTAAACCCTGTCAAATGCTTTCGAGATATCGAAAGCAACACCCCGAGCTTCACCATTCTCATCTAAAACTTGATAGACTCTTTCACCAATCGTCAAATACATTAGCAGTTGACATAGAGAAGCGGAAGCCGTATTGCTTATCTGAAAGAAGATCTTGTGAGGTTTGATGCTTAACCAATTCAAAGTTAATTATTCTATTACCAGCCCATAATCCTAAGAATATTTTTTCTTTTCCCATTGTTGAAAGGTGTTATTTCCAAAATTATAAAAATAATTCTAGGTCAATTAAAAAGCCCCGATAAGTCTAAGAAGCCAGAAATTTAAAAAATCATCTTTTGAAGCACAAAAAAAGACAGTGAACATACACAAAGGATGAATTTCACCCTCGACACACAAAATGGACTTCATATTACGACAGTAACGAACAATGTCACTAAAGATAAAATACACTGCCAGCCAAGTGTCTTCGTTTACAAAGATAAACTCTTCTCTATATATATCTATATTTCTGATATTATGTACACTATTTACATTATTCATTATTATTTGTCCTCATCTTTGTTGCCATATTTATCACAACGTTTCGGCCTTTGTACGCTCCGGCCTTCTTCAGGTGGTTGGAATGTCGAACTGAACCCTTTATGTCAGTTATCTCCTGTTAATTCATCTCTCCAAGTTCTCCATTCCCTTAACCAGGTATTGAACTCACAACTCTTTGGGTCCTATCACTGGATCTAACCAACGCCTTTATCCACTCTGCCATGTGTCCTTAAGGGCAGTTGTGTATGAATTTCTGGGTCTTATAAACTTAATGTCTTCAGCAACCATTTTTAACAGTGCTCATATTGCGAGTTTTGCTGTTATCATTGAATGTTTTATAGATAACTGACATCCATTAGACATGGCACGTGGAACTAGAACAGTCTACCCCAGCAAGCGAAATAAAGGGTTCAGTTCGACACTTGAAGATGGCCGGAGCGTATAACGGCCGAAACGTTGTGATAAATATGGCAACGAAGATGAGGACAATAGTCTGAATATGAATGTAAACTCTTCTCTATATCTCTCTGATTTTCGTGAATAATGATGCTGGACATTATCTACAGAGATGAAGAGGAGACTTGAGGCAACAGAGATACAGTTCTATAAAAGTTATACTGAGAATACTATGTACGGAACATGTGAGCAACGAGGACGTTTTAAGGAATTTGTGGCAGTTGACATTTCTGGGATACATTATAAGGAAAGAGGTCTTGTCGAATTTAATACTCACAGGACATATTGAATACAAGAGAGGGAAACAGTAACTAACTTGCCAAACGAACTTGTGTAAATGGATTGCAGAACAGAAACTGGGAGGAATGATGAAGAGACATTGCTTAGAGATACGAAGAATAGAAAGTTAGGGAGAGCCCTGATCGCTCACAACTTGAAGAGACACGACACACAAAAGAATAGGACACTTAGTAATTACATTTTCTTGTCAGAATTTCTAGAATAATGTATTATCATTATTTACGGTCTGTCTAATAACAGACAGTATTTTTGTTAACGAGGTTGGAACTTCTCGCCAAAGATACTCTGGAATTTTCTGGAACTCGTACCCTGAAATCTTTTCTTCTCGAAAATTGATAATAATAAATGCATTTGTATAGTGAAATAATTTCCAATAAATTTCGATGACTTTTGTATTTGATGCGTCTTAATATATTTTATCATTAGAGTGAATAAATGTTTTGACGTGCAATCTTTGTCTCTTGTATTCCACCGGTGATGTTATGGGTTGAAGTTACAGACTTATATAAGCCGTTTATATTGAAACTAACCTTTTAGTAGGTATCGGATTGGTTGATATCTTCATGTAGTAACTTATAATTCTCAGTAGAGGATAGGTACCACCTTTACATGCGTTGTTAAAATCATCTTGGTCTAAGGCCCAAACCATTGCTCCACCCAACTGACGATTAATCAAATATTCGCACTGCAAGAAAGAGATTTTTGTAAAATAGAATTTTTAAAACTACCGCAATTCAAAGAATAAAAATCGTTAATGAATGCATATAATATCAGAATGAGGTACCTTTTTATTTATTCTTGTAAATTCATAGCATTATTATTCAGTCATCGAATTATTTCGTCTGACTTTCTATAATCTTACCTTTCAGCTAAATTGTGTTGACATAAACGGTTTTGATTAATTCTTCAAAGAATGGTGCGATAACTTGAAAGCCAGAAAATATTTTTGATTGTAAGAATTTGGTGTGGGTGATAATAATTATTTACTGATACAAGTCCTACTAATTAACACATAGCTGGGGAGAGAAGAGGTGGATACTTTCCTTTCCCAAGGGCATTTGCGCATAAGTGAATATAGCAAATCTGATTAGAATCGGCTTTCTGGTTCCGAGCTGTTATCCATTACAGCTCCTGGTATTCCCAAACGGTTACCCATTTAGGTACTGACCAGGCTTGACGTTGCTTACGAGAACCGGTGTTTCAACGTGATTACATATTATGAGGATATGCAAGAATGATAATCGTTAATCCTAAACTTGAAGTGGTTAAGATAGTAGCGATCGAAGGAGAAGCCTTTTGGGATTAACGGATTTCTGCATAGAATCTTATAAAAATAACTTTGAAGACGGTGTTATGATAAGAAATTTAAATATATTTTAGGGTTACATTTTTTAAATCAGTTGATAGCTTCTCGTATATTGATAACTAAAAGAATGCCCACCCGCACACCCGCTTATAAGCTAATAAAAAAAGAAGCTTAGTTTACCTTCATTTTTAAACTTCGTTGATCTTCTATTCCGAGCCATTGGTTGCCTTTGATTAAATACGTCACTTTCTGATCCTCATCCCAATGTTTTGTCCATGTGTGGCTCTGAAGGCAAATCTAACAAGAAACAAGGGGAAATCTTTATTAATTGCATTATTAATAAAAACGTCACGCACACACATATACATATATATATAAATTGGAAAATGCAAAGCTATATAGAGAAATAAAGCGGTATTTTGTATCAAAAGTAATAAAGCAAAGATATGATTCAATAAAAGCAAATCGCTCTGTTGATATTTAAGCTTATTTTTTGTGCTCAGTAAAATACTTATCTTTTTCGAAAGATTAATTTTGACAATTGTCGTACTTGAAAATTTCTGTTTTTTAAATTTCAATTTCCCAAAAGCATGTTTGGCTGTAGAAATTTTGTCATAGATCCGTTAGATGTTCAAGTGATAAGAAACAAAATATTATCGCGAATTCATCGTAGATGATGTATTGTCAACCATTATTAGTTTTCTATTTCTATTTCTCTTTCATTTTCATCTATAATTGCATTCTTAAAGGTTAATCTTCTAAGCAAGCTATTCAAAAATATAGCTATTATAAAGCAACATTTTCCAATTTCGACATATTTTTGTTTGGTCCACACACACACACACACACACTGTCTACATTGGCTTTTCTTCATTTTTTTTATTTGATTTTATTTCTCTTTCATAAAGCTTTGAATCTGCAGGAGCAACAGCCGTTGAAATTCTACAGTGTGTATTTTCAAATTTAGAAAATGTTGATATGCGCTTCAGTTTTATGCTGAAATTTGTTCATAAGAAGATTGATTGTATATGATAATAGTAATGATGAAATTCCCATACAGGAAACATTTGGTTTTCATTGACCAGACAGTTATCGTTATTGTTGCTTTTTGTTGTTGCTGCTGTTGCAAGTGTTCGAGTGATGTATTTTTTGTCATTTGATATAGATCTTTGTAGATTTGTTTGCATAGGGTCTGATGTAGGATCATCTTCATTAAGATTTAAACGATTCATTAGCTTGAAGTTATTTTTAATCATTGACCTGAGAAAATGTTTATATTCAGACGATAGTTTAGGCATTTCTGGGCGAACTGGACGCCATACCTAAGACTCATATGGGAGTTTAGATCTGACAAGGCCAAGAATATGACTCGCTTTCGGGTTAATGTTTTCGTTTTGTAATATTTTGTGGTATTGGAAAAAACGTATCCCTAACAAAATCAATCCTGTTTTCCATTTCTTTATCCATTAGACTAAATTTTTTTTTATAACTGATCAGTTCTAAGAACCAAACATCTATTAGAAAAAAAAACTATTAAAAAAAGTTAGAATTCTGAGCAGAATTTATATTGACTTGTTTATTGTTGACCCGTTAAACACTGTGGAAAAGATACACCGAGAAACAAAACTCATGCAAAACTTACTTCGTTGTACGACATGATCCCTGCACTTTGCGTTATGGGACCTGGCTTTCCTGGCCTCGGAGCTGGGGCCATCATCCCGTTATAACTATCGTCTGACAAAGTAAAGGAACGGCCATAAAGAGGAATTCCCATAATCAATTTTGATGGTGGAGCACCTTTTGAAAGCCAATATCTCACGGCATAGTCCTGTAATATGAAGAAAAGATTTCATGTTTCTAAGTGAAAAGCAAAGAATGGATTATTTTGGCAAAAGCATTAATTGATAGTTGCATGCGTTTTAATGGAAACTATTAAGCTAAGTCATACCATATATATTTGCGTATAGTGTAGTTTTTTTTGTTTTTTTTTACGCATAGAAAAGGGGACCGCACTATAAACAGGTCATTTTTTGAAACGGTTAAAATCATGCATTTTCGGTTACCAGTTGCACTATGCAGAGCTAATTTTTTCTAGAGGGGTCAAAATTCATGCATTTTTGGCGACCGTAATTTACCTGATTTACCTACATTCTGACGTTACCTTTGGATAACCTTAACGGTACAGGTAAGGTACTCTAGGCTGCATTTCACCTTCCAACTGTGGCCACTGCTTGTCTTTCCTCTGCTTGTACGGTATCTAAATCTTCGTATCAGATATTTTACAGTAAGTACTAGATTGACGGCAAGATCTCATAATTTTACAGTTGAAATGGCCAGATGTAACCGCAAGTCCTATGCTATCACACTTTTCGCTTATAAAATTCGCTTCTGGTTTCTTGCTTCCCAGTCAACTTTGATCTTCAAAAATTTAAATGCAATGTCAGTCGTTATTTTCTGTCTTCTTAATTCTTGTTCTTTTATTGATTTCTCTCTATAACAGTAGTTTTTCTCATATTCTCTAATACTCAGTAAGCCTTTGCGTCCTAGTGGCTTTATTGTCTTGCTTGTGATGAAATGTTTAAGAAAAAGGGTTTTTGTTTGCACCATTTTAGAAAAGCTTTGTACAAAAAAGAATGCAGACCATTTATTCGCTATAAAATATGTTTAGGATGATGCCCAGTGCTGCAATATTGGACTACAGTAGACCTATTAGTATTTTTCACCCCAAAATTCAGAGGTCGCACAATACATGAAGTCGGCTTATACACGAGTATATACGGTAAGTAATTCCCATTTTGTGGAGCCAATTGTAATGACGAATGTATCATCCAAACTATTAATCACAATTGACAGTTAAGAACAAATTTGAAGTACACAAACATAACTGAGTTTTTATACGACATTGACAGTGTACACAGTAAAGTTACTGTGTACACAAGGGAAATGTTGTTATCCTCGCTGACAGCATAAGTCCGCATACAACAACAAAAAATAGAGGAAAAATTTATAGAACTCGGCTGGTCTATTCTACTCTACGCGCCATATGACCTTTTCCGATCGCTGCAAAACGCTTCAATGGGGAAAACTTTCTCTAATGAAAAGCAGATTCAAGAGTTTAATGAAAACTTTTCGTATCAAAATCTACGGATTTTTACTCAAAAGGTATCGAAATGCTGCTTGATAAGTGGCAACAAGTCATTTCAAATAACTGGGAATATATAATTGAATAAAATGCAATTGAATGGTTACTTCTTGTCTTTTCTTACCCCCATACAACACCAAGGAGTAACCCTCTACCTTGACTGACTCTTGGGCTTTGTTTTGGCTGAACATTAGTATCGAAATAAATTACTTACAACGTTCAGATATTCCCTGCCGTTTCTTTCGCCGGGTTTAGCGTAGAGCGGTGCCACGTGACCAGTTACTTTCTCCCAGGAACCATGAAAGTCATATGTCATGAATAATACGTAATCAACAATTCTGGAAATAAATGAATAAATGAAAATAAAAAGTAAACATTCTTCTTAAGCACAGAGAAGAATAAAAAAGCTCAAGCAAGGACTGAACCCAATTACCCGTACATGTATCTGCACACATTCAATATTTGTAGGCTGGCGTGCCTTGAAGAGAAATTGGTAGTGGGATTGCTTCCGTGATACGAGACTATGAGAAAGCAGAATACCAAATATACAGACGCACACGTATATAAATGCACACACATACACATACGCAAGCAGATAGATATTCATAAAGTAAAATAAAGTCATGCTTATTTTTTGAAGATTAACGTTGCATATTCTCTCTCTATACATATATATTTCTAAGATGACATATTGTAACTACACTGTTTACATCGTTCGGACTGTTGTCATCTTTATTGCCATATTCACGCTCCGACCTTCTTCAGCTGATATACGTTGAAATGGGATGTTTTTAATTTCCGAATACGGTTAGCACATTGTGGCTTTGTTCGTAGTTAATATTGTTAAGAGTTGGCCTTTTCTTTTTTATTATTAAAGCTTCCATTATTTTTAGTCTTTTTTTTTGCAGATGGATGCAGTTAATATATTTGTGTTTTCTACTAGTATGTTTCTAATGGAGTCTGGTGAATTTGTGTGTGTATTTAAATGGGTTCTAATGGAGCTGTGATCAGATAGGTGTAACGTAAGACGTCTGGATAAGCATGTATTCGGAAATAAATACATCCCTACCACACACTAAGACATACACATAACGCACACACTCAATTAAGCTGAAAAATCGAATCATCCTTGATAATGGCTAAAGGTATAGCCGAAAGCGCTCGGAAATATAAAACATTTGGACAGTTCTTACACACCCTTTGTCCAGAAAAGAAAGCTCTTGTTCAAACACAAGAAAAATTAAATAAAAAGCTTAACCGTAGTACCTTGTCTGTCGTTTTTAATGAAACATGCATATATATATTAATTACATTTACCGGCGTAAACGTTCGAGAAATTTTGTAAAAAATATGTGCTTCTCTGACAGGAATTGAACGTGTAACCCTAATGAAAACAATCATTTGATATGATGCGCTGTTAACCATTCAGCTATGAAAGAGTTGTCTGATTTGCAAAGTCCGAATTACTGCTTAGAAACAACAAATCTTCGACGATCTCTCCCGAACGATCATATCTGCTCACGAAACGTACCTTAACATAATTGACAACATATCATGAAATGGATTAAATCTGACCATTATTTAATATATTTTCTGTTTATACATTATTTTAACAGGTACAATTTATTTAAGTAAATGCTCTGTTTTTTTTTTATAAATAAAAATTATTAATTATATTTACCGGGCTGAATGTTCGAGAAATTTCATAGAAAATACGTGCTCCTCCGATAGGTATCGAACCTGTAACCCCAATGGGGACCGTCATTTGATCTGATGTGCTGTTAACCATTCAGTCATAAAACACATCAGATCAAATGATGGTTCCCATTGGGGTTACAGGTTCGATTCCTGTTGGAGAAAGATCATCGAAGATTTGTTGTTTAGAAACAGTAATTCGAACTTTGCTAACCAGACGCTTCTTTGTCGGATTTAATCCATTTCATAATATATATATATATATATATATATATATATATATATATATATATATGTGTGTGTGTGTGTGTGTGTGTGTGTGCGCGCGCGAGATTGTGTGTCTGCGTGCGTGCGTGTGTGTGTGTTTCTCATGTTGAATGCCTATCATTTGTAGTATATATCTCCACACACACACACAACCACACATATATTTATATGGATGGATGGATGGCTCGAGTGGTTAGAACGTTTGCTTCCCGACCATGAGACCCGGATTCGAATTTCACTATGGTCAATTTGCGAGGACGGTGGCTTCTCAATGTTATCAGTCATGGGAGGTGACTCCAGCGTGCAGCACCGTTGAAAATTGCCTGAAAACCATACGACGGGTTGATCCAAGCTTTGTCACTGAAAATGTGTAAACGGAACTGTTCGGGAGCTGTCGATGGTTGTGCTAGCAAGTTATCGTGACTGAGAGTTTGAGTGTACTATCGCTGTTCAAACTGCTGATCATGCTAGATTGTGCACTCTCTCTCAGAAACCGTAACTAAGGTCTGCTCAGTATAGTTGCACTATAAACCATAGGTGGTCACTGTAGGTGTTGAAAAACTCAAACGTGCCTGAGTAGGTGTCTGCAACAGGGATTGGCTGGCCGCCCTAGCAGTTGTATGTATGTATGTATGTATGTATGTATGTATGTATGCAGGTCGTCAAATGTTCTTTTAATGCTTATCTTCAGCTTCCTTATTACGTGTTTTTTTTTTCATTGTGCCAACCATTGGGAAATTAAATAGAGTTCACCGCAATATTAGCCAAGCTGTTATGCGAACTTTCTTTCAAATGTGTTGCTTTTCAACACAAAATTTTCACTTTGTTTTTACTCGAAATAATAGTTAGTCGCCACTGCTACTAGCTTTAATAGGTATACGCAAGTCTATTCATCGAACGTATCCAACTAACTGACTTACCGTGAGATTTCAGCCACATTGTAACTGGTGTCAATTGTACTCTTTCCCATTCCTACAGCGATCGTTAAAAGATATCTGTTTGCAAAATAGGCCTTCATCGTCTGTAACCAAAAAATAAATAAATTTGTAAAACTTTAATAAAAAATTAAAGTAGGATAATAACGAATTATAAATGACTTGTCATATTGGTAAAATAATATTTGTATAACTCTGTTTTGAAAAGAAAATTATTTACACGCATATCTTTCTTATCGCAACTATCCGTAGAAAGGTAAGATGAATTCATCGCTACTCCAGAGTAATATCTTTACCGGGTACGTTTATGCTATTTTGCACTAATTTTTACTGAATTATTATCACGGCCTACCTGAAACTAGAATTTCTGATATTCACCTTTTCTAACCAATCAAAAAGCAATATCGTCAGCCAATCAACTCTTTTCTGTAGTCTATTGGATAGAGTATAAATCAGTATCGCGATGCAATCGCCAATTGTTTTTTTGCCTTCACATGAGACAGCACAGCGTCTAACTATCTCTCATTCATTTTTGTACCATTCATTCACTTTTTGTTGTTCAGATGAAATTCTGTTTTTTGTATCAAATCTTTTTACACGTTTCCTGGTTACAGGAAATATATTTTCAGCCAGCCGTTCTCGCCCAAAAATTGTATTTTAATCAATTTAATACAAGGTGGGGTTTTTCTACTGCTATGACTTTGCGCATACACCAAGAATTAATAATCTCACAGGTCACTCACACGTACTTGTAACATGAGCTGTTGCTTTACTGACAAATACAACAGAAAATGTTATACTTTGACACGTTAGCTTATGGGAGAATAGCCTAGTGGTTTAAGCGTTGCTTCGTGAAATTGGTTACATAGTGATTATGTGTTCAAACTCTGAGCCAGACAGTGTGTACTTGGATTTCAGTGGAAATAGAGCGAGCAATAACTGATCAGTACTAAAAATAAGAACATGGACAGTGGAACGAGAACAGTCTACCGCGTTCAGTTCGGAATTCCCTGTAGGTTATCCGGGTCGATATACACCTGATGAAAGCCGCAGGACACAAGGACCAAAACGTTGTGATAACAACAACAAAGATGAGGACAATAGTCCGAATTTAAATTGTGTAAATAATGATAACTCCTAATCTCAGAAATTCATTTATAATTCAGTATAGATTTATAGAATAGGGCCGGTCGATTTTGGAACCGTGGTTTTACACTCAGTTTGAAAGTTAGGGTTTGACATGATAAATAACGACACAAAATATCTTTTTCAAAATCATTACCATTTTTTCTTTCTTTTTTTTTTTTTTTGAGGAAACGAGTTTAAAGATTAAGTTTTAGTTCAAAATTGTAGCGTTGGAATTTCATTCCGGTGATCAGTGAAAGGGTTAGAGCACAGCCCTATAAAATTTATGATTTATTGAAGCTTTACAAATTGTATATGGACAAGATGCAAGACACAAGCACATTATTATTAAATTATTCTGCCATCAAATAAAACCCTCATTTACTACGAAGGGCAATTATACTGAACAATTTATCTATATTATGATGTAATATATATTATACAGTGCAGTAGTTTTAGTGCGATTTTTAATAAACAATGTAAATTCAAAACATTTTGTTCTATAATTTGTGCCCAGTAGGTTTATGGTGTTATATACACTTTTATCAATTTTTCATTTTTATTAATTAGAATCTAATAAATCTTATTCATTGAGTAGCCTATTTTTACAATTTTTTACACAGTTTTTAATTATCGAATACAGTAAATGTTTTGCCTATTCTGTTTGTGGCTTTTTACAATTAGAATTCTGGTTTGAATATATTTTTCATTCAATATATCTAATATAAAAGATGTCAACTTTATTTGGATTTATTCTTGAAATAGTAACATTTTGAAGTCAGTTTGTAAGAAAAATTAGGTATTTCTTATATAAAAGTAAATGCTCAAATGTTGGTGAGATCCATCAATCTAATGTTTGGTGTCAGTACCTATCACATCAAACTCGAGCTTTCACAGCGAGTGCAATGTTGACTATCTCAAAAAGTAAAATATCAACCTGCCCTATGTTAAAAATGTAATTCTGTTATAACAATCGATAAAAATTTGTATTTCTAGAGAATTTGATAACGGATCAATTACTGAAATACTTCCGATTTGATAATTGATTTTTGTCAAGTGATTTGCAGCAAATGTGTAAATCATATGCAGGAAATTTCTACTGTTAAAATTTACACAGATTTTCTATCGTAAATTCTTTAAAGAGTATTTGTTGTAGCGTCTTATTAATTAATTGTTAATTATAGAATTTTTATATTTACCCAATGCATATGTATAGCACATTTATCGACTACTTTGGGTGAAGATTAAGTCTCAACTCCCCAGAGTGTTTAAAAAACGAAAGTGGATTTAAACTCACTGTCACTCACGTCAATCTT